TAAAAATTTGCGATAGTGGATCAAAAATTGCACACAGACAAACAATGAAAGAGCATAAATTCAACACTGACGAGCCCAAGCTCATCGTAATGCTCACAATCATCAAAACAGACCAAAATGTGCACGTCAAGCCATTCTTCCCATCTTATCAGTTGATAAGCTAACGTCAGCAATTAATCGAAAAACACATCGGCGACTCACTCTACACGTCAACGAGTCTCGACTACAAAATTGATAGAATTCGAAATGAGCTCGCAATGTGAGATGAAACCAACATTCAATAAGGAACTCCACTTCAAAGTGAAACGTTGATGTTAGTCGTTTCTTTACAACAGCCAAAAGTTGATGCACAGCACTCAATACTTAGTCGGCAAACGATTCCACAATTCGTCGTAAGAATGTCAACTCGATGAACTCCAGTGCAAATATGCAAATAAATACACAAATGTTATTCACCCAACTAACCTACTCCTCCTCCCATTACGCATTATAAAAGCAATACATCATCTTAATCTCGCTGGCATATTGAGAAAAAAATTGCGCTTCTCTCGCTTGATGCCTTGTCCGAGATTCAATGACGATACGAAACAAAGAATGGATCCGAAAATGGCATGTATTAAAGCGAAAAAAAAAGCAATGTGATGTTTTAAGACTCAGAAAGAATTCGCCTTCTTCACAAAGCTTCCATATGCGCCCAATACACGACTCTATTATTTCACGTATGCATGCAATACATACGATAAGTTGATCGAATAAAGTTGATCGAAATTACTTTTCTTTTTGATTAATGCGATCTTTTGCAATTGAAAACGACAACTAGCTAGGTTCGATATCAACATATTCAATTTTCTGCAGATTTTAAACGTTCCATAAACAAAAAGATATCGTAACGATATGAGAATTGCGATTAACACGAATTTTTGAATTACATCCATGAAATTTTATAGCGCAATTAGAAAAACAAAAAACGAAACCATCAAACTGAATGCTTTTTGTTTAATGTTGTCAAAAATACCGGCTCAATAATGGCTCGTTCGATTACTATCGTTTTTCATTTTGGAATAAATGTGCGAAAATGGTTCTGGTTCATGCGCTTTAAAAGGATTTTTCTTAATGTTTGCGCATATTTCAATAGCCACAGTATCTTATTTTCGAGTTGCTTGAAAGAAAAAACTGTCGTTTGTCCGTGCTTAGTACCAAGGCATCAACAAAGTGGATCGAAAAGCAAGACTATTCAAGAGATGAGTGGTATCAATTCGAAGGAGAAATTGATAGCAAGAGATGACTCGCATCACAGACCAGTGCTTCAGCAAGCTCAATGGAAACGTTCCTATGAATGAAACACCCAAACTCAAATGATTCAGTAAATTAAGTAGAACCGAACTGAAGATATCAAATGATTGCATCAAATATGGATGATATTGGCAGGTAAACTTCCACTGCACTAGGTAACACCTATATTAATCAACATTTACTTCTCGATCACGTCAGTGAGAATATACACAGGGCGCGGCGCGGTCTCTGGTCGAGAAATTTTAATCCTTCATTGATATCCTTCCATCATTGGGAATTCAAGAAGAGTTGAATCAATCATACAATTGCTGATCAAAACATTCAGATTAGGACAGATAGAGTGATCACCCTTCCGTGAAAATGATGAAGTCACAATTCTCACTAACAAAAACAAAAACCAACCCTAGCAGGCAGTGATTCGTTGAGCCGATTCTCAAGTCGTTCGATTTCGTGATTCCTCTCGGTGATCGCTCGTGTAAGGGTTCTGAAATTTGTCCTTCCTGGGTTTGCAACAAAAGAAAAAATCCCATAAACTATAGACATAAAGCGATTTTAAATGCTATATTACATTAATCGATGTTTCCCAATCATTGGACAGTTGACAGTATTTCAGAAGATTTCGTACATCTGAAAGTCAGCTGCTGCTTCGATAAAATGAAACTTGCAATGAGACTGGTTGTCATGAATATCGGGTGTGGAAATAAATTCAGCAAACAAAACTTAAATGATATTGAGAGTCAACGTCAAAAATGAATCAGTTACTCGATATGTGCTTTCAGCTGTCTGCACTGTCGTTCCAAGCACAGTTCTTCATCGAGATCACTCAGCGATGCATCATCTTCACTATGCGCTAATGACCAATGACCACTATCAGCATGAGGTGATGCCCTATTGAAGGTATGCTTCTCGAATCGTGATGCCAACAACGCTCGCAGTTCAGCACTTTCTTCGCGACGCCTCGAAAGAGATAATAAGTGTTAATAGGTTGATTTGTTCATCGAATACTTTTTATACCTACTCACGTGAGATAACCTTCACTTTGACAATAAGTTTTCTGATGTAAAAAGATTTTTCGTTAGGGAACTCCACTCTGGAATATCTTCAGGTTTCCGTAATATGAGTATGTTCTCATTTTCATCAGTCATTTTTATAGGTATATTTTGAGAACACTCTTCAATCACGAGATTCCTTCATCTTTGCATCTAACATCGCAACTCTTCAACAGTCGCACGGAGGAAATTGGGGAAAAAAATGCCACTTAAAGGATGCTCTAAACATGGAAGGAATTAAACAACAGTGTTCGCTCACACGAAGTGAATAAGATACCTATCATTTTCTTCCATTGTTTTCTCGAAAATCGATCTGAAGTTCATTCCCTCATAACCATGCTCGGTTTTCTCCTCTATCAAGCGATCGAGGTCGCTCTTCATCTTCGAATATGCCAACTCCAGCTCCTGAGAGTTAATTCAAATCTGAACATGAAAGCAACCGTTTGCCATTTGAAATTGGACCCTATGATGCCAAATCCAGTGCATTTATTAGGCAATACGGCTCGGTTCCTAAATATTCCATAACAGGTAAGCAATTCATATGCAAGGGACTCGAGATCTCACCTGAACTCGTTGTATTTCAAACGCTCGAATTGAGGTTCGTTTATCGAGACTCTCAATTAACGAGTTCGCATCCATAATTGCCTTCAAACGGTCATTCTCTCGCTGATTCTGTTCCATTCTGCAACATTCACATGTTTTACCAACGAGCATCTCATTATTCAAAAATTCTTGTCTTCACTGAACATTGAACTGGCATTGAGTGAAAC